ATATATATATATATATATATATATATATATATATATATATATATATAAAAAACCTGCTAGCACTGTTATATTCTACCATCTTCTTGTTTACTATCTCTCTTTAGGACATTGTAATTACTTTTAGGTACTTTATTTTTGTACCCTTATGGCACACTTTTAGTATTTCTTGTTTGTTTGTTCTTTGTTTTGTTTTTTTAGCGAGTCAAATGGATTCTTCTCATCCTCAGCATTTCATTGTACCGTTAACCCTGCGTTAACCTGCTTATGACAAATAAACACAACGTGAACTTGGAATTCTGCGAAATGCGCGTCGACCACATTTTATGGGGCTGATGAGACAAAACTGGAGTTTTTTGGCTTCAGTCACATTGTGAGTTGTTTTGATTGTTGTGGAAGGTGTAATTAATCAGCATCTGAATTCTTCCTAACCCATCAGGGTAGAATATGAGTTTTGTTGAGATTTAAATTATAAAAGAGAAGTTGCATCATCTTGCGCCCTAACACCTGTTGACAACAAACTAAAAGTATTCCACTTACATTAGTTTTTATTTTGTCATTATTTTACTATTTATTCATTACAAAAGGTTTTTTATTGATCGGGGGGGAACCTCAATTCATTTGTTAAATAATCTACTTATTTAATGATTCTAGCAGTTTAAGTGTTTGTTGCTTTGTTTAATCCTACAGAATTAAAACTGTAGAAATTACAGTAAAAAATGGATTAATCACAAAAACGTGTAATACATAATTGTCAAAAATTAAGAAGGCAAAAATCCCTGTTTATGGGTTTAATTGAAAAGAAAACGGTTAAATATTATTAAAATGTTACATTTAGAAACAAGTTTAAGAAAACTTAATTAAATGACGGTAAGAGTAATTTACTGTAAATAAATAAAAACCTTAAGCTGTGAAATTTAAGTTCATAAAAACTGTTTTTTAAACCGTGAATTACTTAAAAAAAAATTTATTTGCTTTTGAATAACTTTTGCAGATGTAGTGTTTTGTGGGTTTTTATGATAAAATTATTTAGCTAAATGTGTTTTGACGTCGGTCAAGTCTTCAAAAGACAAAAAGTTTTGCAGTTTGAAAAGTTTAGGCAGATTTATTAAATAATGGTTTAACAGCTTGTAAAAAAAACACGACCGCAGTAATTATTATTATTATTATTTTTTTATATATAAAGGAAGATGAATTCATGTCCACTGGGCAGGCTTGATATTTCTTTTTGTTTGTTTTGCTGATAGTGACGGAGAAAACAAAACGAGCTGCAGCTCATCAACCAGTGGAACCAGTATAACCTCTGGCTCAGCTGTTGCACCCTGAAGCAGATGTTTTTTATTGACTGGTTTCTTGTCAATAATTCAAACAGAGAATCATCTGAAGTGAAACTCAGGTGGAAAATGTGGTTTTCGTGGAGAATCCACAGTAGCTAATGGTCAAAGAGGCCGAAGTTGCACTGGGGGCAGGAACCAGAGGCCGAAGACTTTTTTTCTTTCAGCAGCCAGGAGGGGGAAGCATCCCTCTTTGTAACGTCCTCAGAAGGAAAGCAAAGTAATTAAACAAACAATTTACCAACAGTTCTGCGTCTGCTTATCCCATCTCTCATATTCACTCGTGCACTAATACGTTCAGACAGAAAACTGGGGGGTGGGGGTGTTTTTGTCTCTAAAAATGACACGCGTGTTTCATTGCCCATTCATTTAACCTGTGCTGTGTTTATAGACAGAAAGGGATTGAGAAACAAATTACCGAGTGTCATTTAATTAAGAGTTTGGCTGTGAGCACTAATCCTGTTTTTTTTTTTCCTTCCTCATAACCTTTAACTACTTAATGGATTTGAGAAGCCATTACCTTTCAAGATTTCTGTTTTTAATTATTTGGAGTATTGTCACTGATATGAAATGTCACTCAGACACCAGGATTATTGCTGCATCTTATGACAGAATATTATTTAATAAAAGCTGAACGAGTTATTTGTCAGGTTCGCAACAGCAACAGACTCTAGAAAGCTTTCTGTGTTCGCGTTTTATCTCCAAACACACTTTCACTAACTTTGCTCATTTCTAAATCCACGAGAGGCCATTATTTATACAGATATAATAACAGGAAGCTGCGGTACATCTCACAGTAATATTAGAAATGCGTCTTTGTGAGGCTCCGATCGGATTATAATAATGAGTCGGTTTTAATATGTACAAACTCGATTTATACTTTGCTTCTTTTGGTGTTTATCCTGTAGGTGTGCATGTGTAAAAATATAATTTACGCCGTGTTTGGATAAGTGAGCAGCGGAGGAACTACCTCTCACCCTCATCAGGTTTTTGGCGTGGCTTTGAAAGTAGGAGGCGAGAGTTTGTTTGGTTTCCCCCGGAGGTCGACGCAGCGCCCTGCCAACAGACTTACTGCCACACTAGTACCGACTGTCTCCATGAATCTCACCTGAAATGCATGAGCCACACGAGGTATGCACAAGTTACACAAACCACGAGGGCTCAAGTCCAGATTTAAATCACTGCTGCTCCTGTGGCAGCGCTCCTGCAGGCTCTGGGCCGTTTGTAGGGGGTGGGCGATGTGGCCGAAATATCATATCGCATTATTTTAACAGTAAAATCCCAATTTTATCTAGATATTTACATTGATTTGTAACTTTTTTGTTCCATTATATTACAAACTACAAAACAATTCAGCTAAACTCGCTTATAATAAAATTGTAGACGGTAGCGTTTAGAGTTTTTTAAAATTCAGTGTCTGCTTTTTTCTGCGCTTGGAACAGGTTTTAAATCACTACGCACCCAGACTTTCTTATTTTATTATTTCTATTCAAGATCAAAGGTGGATTTAATCACAAGTATTGATATTAATTTAAAAATTATATATGTCTGTCTGTCTGTCTGTCTGTCTGTCTGTCTGTCTGTCTGTCTGTCTGTCTGTCTGTCTGTCTGTCTGTCTGTCTGTCTGTCTGTCTGTCTGTCTGTCCGTCCGTCCTTCCTTCCTTCCTTCCTTCCTTCCTTCCTTCCTTCCTTCCTGTGTATATGTCGGCTAAAAGAGCTGATATATATACTGTGTGTGTGTGTATGTATGTATATAT